CTTACAAGAATCCTTGAGTAAGTCATGACTGGACCAAATTTATGTTATGTTATACTATATTTATATATTGAGTCCCCTTCGGGGTTGAGAAGGTCGGTATACAAATATCACAAATAAATAAATAGCCCTACTCTCAACACTTTTGTGCATTCAAAGTTAAACCAAAGTATAATAAAACTACTGATATATATGTTTTAAACAATTAAACAAGATTACAATTTAGAAACACCAAAACACATTAAAACATAGTTAAAAGATGACGTTCTTGTGTGGATTCAAGCCATTTCCAATTTATGGTAGCCCTAGCACTGGATTTCCTTCACAGGATTTGTTCAGAGGAGTTTGTTGTTGCATTTCTCTGAGACTGAGGCCTCTTCCCTACAGCTGAATAAAATCCCACATTTTCTGCTTTAAACTGGAATATAGGGAAGTGTGGACTCAGATTACCCAGCTCAAAGCAGATATTGTGGGATTTTCTGCCTTGATATTCTGGGTTATATGGCTGTGTGGAAGGGCCCTGAGAGAATATGATTTGCCCAAGGTTACCCGGTGGCCTTCCGTAGCTAGGTTGTGCTTTGAACCCTGGTCTCCTATATCTTTGGTGCACTGTCTGTATCTGACTGTGGGGTCAGTCGTTTTCCCCAGCCCCTTTCCACCTCTTTCTCAGAGCTTGTATGCATTCATATCACAAGTTCATTTTGCAATTAATAAAGTTTTTAATACTTCAAAAACCTCTTCAATACTGCTCTGGAGAAGAATTGGATTTACTCTCACAACAGTCTGCTAATCTATGGTCTGCAAAAACAAAAATGCTCCAAGGAGAGATTTGGCTACATGACAGGGGGGAAAGGCTACTCAATTGATGTGGTGCAAATCAATCCCATCACTTGATATTACCATTCTGGCCTATGAATTGTCCTTCATGCTGGTGAAGGAGCTATTGGAATGAGAATCAGTATATTCATGACACTTAGTTCTGCTTCTTGTCTTCAGTATTGACTGAGGCTCTGCGAGTGCCATAGAATTGCCTGCAATGACTAGATGCTACAATGAATTGGAAAGGGGACAATAGCAGAACCCGAATCTCAAAAAAGTTAAGATTTTTATTGCTGCTATTTCCTAAGCCTAGAAACATTGCTCTGGATAGGGTTGCACCCCCTTTCTCCAAGAAAACAAGTGCATACCTTATTCCTGATCTCTCATTTGAGGACATGGTAGACCCTGAGAGTCAGAGTGCCTCATGCCAATTTTGACTGTTATGACAACTATGACATTTCTTAGATGTGGATAATTTAGCCACAGTAATCTATCCACAGATATCTTACTGATCAGACTACTGCAAAGCATGCTGTGTGGGGCTGCTCTGGAAAAAGACTCTGGAAACTAAAGTGAATGCAAAATGCAGCAAAAACTGTTGGATGGAATACTATATAAAAGCCATATCATTCCAGTTTTGTACTGGCTGCTCAAACATTTCCACATTTCTGAATTCATGGTACTGGATTGGTTTCTCAATCTTAAAGGTTACATCTTCCTATTTATTTATTTATTTTGAGCATTTCTACCCCGCCCTTTTCAACCCCCTAGTGGGGACTCAGGGCGGCTTCCAGCCGGCACATATTCGATGCCTACAATTCAACACAACAAAATAACAAAATACACAACCACAGTAATTATAAATAGTTAAAACATTAAATTAATACAATAAAATCTCATAGAAAAAGCCAGCCTGGTGGCCATCGTTTCGCCGAGTTCAGCTTATCATAATTCGTTTCCAAATCTCATGTCGTCATTGTCCTTGTCAGTCTGCTATACAGGTATTTGTCACTTATTTGATGAGTTGTGGACTACATCACTGTCCACAAATGGAAATGCAAGGCTGAAGGCCAGATTGCACTGAGTCAACTGAGAGAAAAATTAAACAGCACAGAAAGCCAAGTGAGGGGGGGGGGGGGAATCTTTCTAAGAGAGGGAAAAAACAGCACATGGTTGGAACAACAGACAGGGAGTCAAAATATTGATCAGGATATAATTTAGAATGGTTGAAAGACCGGACCAATCACAAGTGAATTGTTCACTAGAGAATCCAATTTCTTCATTCTACCAGTGACAAAGGGACTGATGAACATGGCTATCCTTTTATCTAGAATAGGCAGGTCTTAGAAACACCAAAGGAAAACATGGCACTTTCTAAAGCTTTATCATGTAGGATAGTGATGATGAACTTAGAATGGGTTTTGCTTTACTTTGCAGTAGGGAACCTTGGCGTACAGTGTCAAGACAGCAGTGCGTTGACCTATTTTCTCATGCTGAGTTGACTTTATGGGGTAATCCAGATTTGAAAACTGGGAAGATGACTTTTATGTGAAAGGATTGGGTTGATAGAGCCTTTCTTATTCTGAATCTAGTGACTGCTTCCGATGATGAGTTTCTCCTATTCACAGGATTACAGATGAGATACAATCTGCCAATTTCTGCAGAAAGGCAATTATGATGTATGTTGGGGTCTACATATGGCCGTAAAGCTTTGAGTGCTTCGGAATCTCTTCTACCTTTGGAAAGACTTGTGGAGGCAATGAAAAAATCCCTAGTGTTTGCCTGTAAATATTCATTGCTGGAATGAATGCAATGGCAAATTAAGTAGCCCTGATTTGTTTAACTAATAGACTGCAACTTTGCTTTCTTTAGAATACCTATGAACAGTTTTTTACTCAACACATGTTGGATTCCACAGCATTCATTTGACATGATTGGAGTGTGCTGTCTACGTACTGCTGCTGTAATTCTCCAATGCACCTCTTTAAGATATAGCTCTTAAACATTTTTTTTTTCATTCAGGGTAAAGGGTCCCAGTAAAGGACTTTCCAGATAACTTGGGGCTGTACACTCTGAGATATTCTTGCCTGATTTCAGTGTGTTTACATATATTTATTTCTTAAGAGTATAAATATTATGTCGATTACAGGACTAAGATTACAAAACCTGTGAGATCTATTAATTTGCTCCCCTGCCATTAATTCTTAAGACATCATCTGGGAAGAAAACATAAAAAGGAAGAATTTTTAAATCTGGTCACATTGTACATTGCATGCCAAAGAGTTTAATACATTTCTTCAGTGCAAGGCCTGAAGCAAATAGGCTGCCACAACTTTGAATTAATTCCAAATGAAGCACAGGTTACAAACTGCAGCAGCAATCCATCCTGGATGTGATAGTGTCATGCAACACAGTGTGAAGATTTTGGTCATAGCCCAGCCTTATCTTAACAAGTATAATCATTCTCATTTGGAGGATGGAGTTTTCCGACTACCTGCATTACATAAAATTGACTCCGACTTTACTGTTGGAAAGGAATCCTACCTTTGCTACCTCTCCATGCAGCAATTTCTGGCTGCTGGCCTGTAATACAGCCCGCAATTCCCTCGCCGAAGAAAAAATGTGTTCTTGCCTCCAGACCTCCTCCTGTAAATATGTGTAAGTAGCAGTTCAGGCAGATCAGCTTAGCATTCCTCACTGTCAAAAAGATATACATCAGAGTTCCCTTACATTTTGTGAGAATTAAAGTGAAAGCTTGAAATCATACTTCTCCTCTCTTCTGGATTTCTACATGTGTATCACCTTGCTACATCTAACATGTTAACTTGACAAGAAGTTGTGCCAGCTGGACACCATGCTAAATTTGGATATAGGTTCAAATTTCTATTTATTTTCCTGACCTAGTATTCCTAGAATGTGTTTCTCTTTTGCACAATGAGAATAGGGAATAATATCTTCTAAACATCACTAGGAGATTTTAGGAATTTTAGTGGGTCCAATAATGCTTTTTCTATTATGAGACTCTTTAGGGGTACACAGATGGTCAAAGAAGGAGGGGGCAGAGAAAATCTGATCAGTGGGAAGGATCACTGCAACCTTTTAAAAAAGTGAATTGCCTATCTGGCATGCTTTCAAAAGAAACCATCATTTTTCAGGGGCAAGAAAGGGCAGTCCAGGGAGTCTGAGTGCCATAAATATAGCCTTGAGGGCTGGATTTCACTCCAGGACTACACTTTGTTCAGTCACAATGTATAGGTTACACACAAAATCACCCTATTTCAGGACAGAATTATAGGACTGATCCAACAAAGAGTGTAGTCATGTGAACATAAGGAATTTAGATGAAAATAAGATCTGGATTCTTTATCCATGACTTGACTGCTCAGAAAACTAGGTCCCTCTCCTGAATAAATTATGTCTGCAGATAAGAAAAAGTGTAGTAATGGCTATGCATTCTGAGAGACTTCACTTTCCTCCATGAAAAAAATCTAATTAAAAGCATTCCTGCTTTTAAAAAAGGACAGAGTATACTAAAAGGGGACTTCAAGCCCTGTTGATGATTCCAAGTTTCTGTCAGGGCAGGTTGACACTGTAAGTAGAAACTAATGTAAAATTGACTATCAGACTCTAAGGGTGTTCTAAAATTTGTCTCCTTACTCACAATGTCAGCTCTGTGGCTGGAACCCAATATGTCAGTCTTACTGTTCTTAATAGTACTTACTATACTCCGAATTTCAGTCTTAATTTACACTTCCTACAGCAAAATGCATATTTGGACATGAAATATGTATTTAGGACACCAAGCATAGCAATGTAGTTCTTCTTGCAATTTCCTGCTCTGATTTTTTAAAGGGTAAAATCAGATGCTTTCCAAGTATTTGTGTACAAACAGACATACACAAATATACTTTAAAAATCTTATAGCAATATAGCAACTTGACATTAAAGTACAGCCAAGACTGTAATTTGGCAACCTTCTGAATCAGATTGAAGCATTCTGTGCTTTTTACTTCTGCTGTGATTCTGTATAGATATTATATATAAATTAATCCTGTAGTCCTACATTTCTTCTGCTTATCCCAATATTTCTTCTTGCTGAAAACTTCAGATGTGCATCAGTAGTATCATGAGTTAAATTACAAAAAACAAAAACAAAACAAAAACACAAGCAATATCTCATGTAATTTTTAGTTTCTAATCACATTACATATTTATTGCTTTTCTTGCATAAGTTTGACATAAACAATATCCTTTACATTTCCGTACACAGGGCTAGAAAAATCTTCATTATATATTAATAAATCAATTTAACAAAAGTATATCACATATTCATAGAGCTATTTATCTCCCCTCCAGATTTAAAATATGCAAAAGAATTATAGAATGACTGGTTTTTAACTGTTCAAACAGGAACTTTCTCAATTTTTAACAATTGACAATTGTATTGCTTTGGCCACTGGGATATTAATCAGCAGAGCAACATATATTACTTTGCCAGCAAATTTAACTACAGTAGGTGTGACTGTGTTTACAAATGCCTGTTTTGTAGGCAGAGGGGTGAGGTTTGTGTTCTCATGTCTACATATCTATCTAAAGATAGGTGTTGACGGGCCTGGTTTACTATAAACTTTTTGCAAGCGTAGGAATGATCCACGTAAGCCATTCTGCTTATATAACATATAAACTACATTGGAGATGTACAAGAAAAACCTACTCAGTTTAACAAGTGTATCACTGGCTACTTTGATCCATAATACTTGCTTTTGTAAAGCGTTAAGAAGGCACACTGAATACTGGCACAAGTGCTTTGTATATTGCAAAGTGAGAAAAGATGGCTAGTCAAATACACACCAACAGGAATTCTTCTGTAAACATTTTATCTTCTGATTTTTTATGATGTGATATTTATTTTTAAATAATTCAGAATACATCTTCCACACCTATGACATGATTCTCATTTTAAAAGAATCAGATGTTTCCAACTGTCATTTCAAATGTATAACCCAGCTGGATTCAAATAATAATTTCCTCTTTATCTTTATTCATGGAGAACAGAACAGTTCGATTTGAAATGTGAAGCAATGTAATAAAGGTGGACACAAGGGGTAAGGTTCACGCTAATGGTTATAACCTGCTTTAATACAAAGAAAACATTAATGAAAGTAAAAAAAAATATTTCATTTTAAATATGCTTGAAAATGATGTGATTTTTATTAGCAAAGTTGAGGAATCTTTGGTTTCCCAGATTTTGTAACTTTCTAGATTAGGGGAACATGTAACACATGACATCGTAATTCCCCAAAAGCCCTTCCAGGATGGACAACAGTAAGGGCCCATCTAGACTGGCCCAAAAACCGGGACCTGTCTTGGTTTTACTGGAGTCATCCAAACAATGCCTCCTGTAAAACTGAATTAATTTGGAATAACCCAAGTTATTCTGAATTAATTAGATACCCCATTAGATCGAGGCCTTCCTGAAAGGCCTGTAATAGTGTATTGGGTCTGTGGGAACTCACTTCTAGCTAGTCCCAGGACTACCTGGGGGTGAATCCCCATTTTCCAACCTGGAGCCCAAAGGTCTGGTATGGAACCCACCTGCACCTCCCAGCCCTCCATTTAACCCTAAAAATTGAAAAAACTCTTACCTGGTTGCTGTAATGATCCTCCTTGTGCCATGAGGGTGTGAGGAAATGATGAGCCAGGAGACCCGGGGGAGGATTTCCACCCCCCCCCCCATCTCCTGGCAAGCATTTTCTTATGCCCTCCTGGTGTGAGGAGGAACGTTATATCAGCCAGGTAAGGTTCTTTTTTAACTTTTTAGGGGGAATTTTTTTGGGAGGGGGGCTTTGGGGTGGCTGTTATCGGGATGGCATGTAGCCAACCCCTCAGGAAATACTGGGTTTTTAGTGGGTCAAAAATTCATGCCAAAGCGGGTTTTAAAAACCCACTTTGGTGCAGATTTCTGGGCTGTCAAGAAGCACCCCAAGAAAAGTGTAGGCCAAAACTTCAGGAAGGCCAAAGGTTCCTACCTTTGTTTGCAAGATTCAGAAAACACAATCCTCACAATGCTTTTATCCAGATATTGTCTCATTTACCATCTACGTTTTACCACAGAACACAGGATTCTCAACATTATAGCCAGAGACGTTTGATTTGAAATTTTAATTTTGCAATCATATAAAAGAAGGGATTCAGTTATTTATTTCAAAACCGAGTCACTTCCATACATTTTGACAGTAGTAAATCCACCAGTGTTATACTGTCAATATGGCTACTACAAGGATGATGGTTGGTGCCATTCTCTCATATGGTTGCTACAAATCATTTTTGCATACATTTTTAAGAAGGCTTACAAGCCTTTCAAAATGGGTTAATATAAGAAAATACAGAACAACCCACTACTCTGGAATCTAGAGTTAAAGAAGTATGTTATTATTACAGAAATTGATAGCAAATTAATAATCTTCAACTTTTCCTAGTTCTAATATAAAAAATGTGCTGAACAGCAAATTATAAACGATGTCGTAGAAATTTTTGGAAACCAACATGCATTTCCTGATAAAATACTGGGAGCATTACTTTGAGGATAGCAGCTGTCCTGACACCAAATTCCATAACATGCTGTTTTCTTTCTTCTCCTTTTTAACAATGCTGTTTTCTTTCTTCTCCTTTTACATATGTTTGCTTTGAATGTGCATTTCCCAATGGGAATCCTTTGCAATTATAAATAAATAATTACTACATGTTTCAATCAGTATTAACATCTCCTCATATTGAAATGTTTCCAAACTGGTAAATACAGCAGTACCATTAGATCAAAACCCTGCTTGATCTTTGCAGTCATGGATCTAGCTCTAGGAGGATTTTTCAGTTCTGGATATCCATATTCTGGAACACCAAGGCCACTCTGCTGGGAATGTACACCTAAAAAAAGGATAACGATTTCTTCATAATAAGCCTTTAGACTAAGGAAGGCAATAAATCTAAATGAGTAAAATAAGCTACTTACCATTTGAGCATGAAATATGCAATTAGCAACTCATATTTATGAAGAGTACCATCAATATTCATTAAATGTATAATAGAATAATGGAATTGGGCATCTGTCCTGAGGCCTATGGGGTAATAGGAATGATGCATTTCCCTTTACCTTTGACACTTCCTAAAGCTAGATCTGCTGATAGGTTTCAATGCAGTTGCCACTAGAGGGCTCCATGTGATTTACAATCGCCAATTTTAGACACTTGAGGACATCCAGGTCGATACACTCTACAGTGATAAATGACAAACGCTTACTGCTGCACCTGAGCTCTATTGCATTCTGAATTAAAGCTGCCCCAGGTCTGTGATGTCATTTTATACAGGTAAATACAAAGTATGGCACAGCAAGGCATTTGAGGACCAACATGTCCATACAGGAGTAATCTAAGTTTGATCTTGAACCAAACATTCATTTGAATTAACAAATTGTGATTAAGTTCTTCCACTAACACTTTTAATCTTATCCGCAAACTGTTTATCTGATTGTACTCTATCTTTTGTTTTGCTCTTCAAAAGCTTTCTTTTTTCTGAACAAGGCAAAAAGAAACTAGTGATGGCATACTCTCAACACAATACTTCTTCCAAGTACAGATTAGGCTCACAACTCAAAACATGACAGATACATTCTGTTTACCAATTACCTTGATATGTGGTAGTTTAAAGACCGCTGAATGCAATTGATCATATAAACTGAACTCAATAACAATGCAATTAGAAAAGAGTCAGCAGATGAGTGAAGATTGCAGGCTTCCTTTTTGACAACGCCAGTGTTTTAAGATTCTCCTCCTTCTCCTGGCATTCCTAATATAATGCTATTTTCAGCCATGTTATCTCCGAACCAGAGCCTGACTGACGGCATGAAAAGCTTTTATAGTCGGCAACCGGAATGAAAGGTGTAAAGCAAACAGCTTTAGGAAAAAAGGGAAAAGAACAGCTGATCTTCATCGAACCAGACTGTAGCATGTCCAATGCATCTAGGCTCTCGTCAGTGAACAGAGTGTTTTCCCCCTAAGGTTTCTGTGATAAATAACTCCAACAAATCTGCTCAGCAGGAAAGGATATATGGGTTAGAATCATGCGCCTCCAAATTTACGAGTAAAGTAAAATAATGATAGTTGTAGGGGTGGAGGATTTATACTTATTTACTGCCACGGATTTAAGTGCTGAAGGATTTATTCCTCATTTTTTATATATACCGGAAGCCGTTTTAAGTAGCTGTCAGTTTCAAACAAACACAAATTACTGCAATGTAGCCCTACTCAAAGCTGTCTTTCCAAGTCAGACAAATCTGGAAGAATGAATGGTAGTCAAATGGTCACAAAAAGGATGGTTCAAACCAAGCCCAGCTTAGGGCCAAAGATTCTTCTGAACAGCAGTAACTCCAGGTAATATTTTTTTAAAAAATAAACACACCTTCTATTATAGAGGAGAAGAAGGCTATTATGCACCCACATGAATTGTGTGCACCTATTGTGATTACCAGCTTTATTTAAATCAGAGGGCCCCAAACTAACAAATTGAAACTGAATCCAGATAAGACAGAGGCACTCCTGGTCAGTCGAAAGGCCGAACAGGGTATAGGGTTACAGCCTGTGTTAGACGGGGTTACACTCCCCCTGAAGACGCAGGTTCGCAGCTTGGGTGTGATCCTGGACTCTTCGCTAAGCTTGGAACCCCAAGTTTCGGTGGTGTCCAGGGGAGCATTTGCACAACTCAAACTTGTGCGCCAGTTGCGCCCGTACCTTGGGAAGTCTGACTTGGCCACGGTAGTCCACGCTCTGGTTACATCCCGGATTGATTACTGCAACGCGCTCTACGTGGGGTTGCCCTTGAAGACTGCCCGGAAGCTTCAGATGGTCCAGCGCTCGGCGGCCAGGTTGCTAACGGGAGCGGCACTCAGGGAGCATACCACTCCTCTGCTGAACCAGCTCCACTGGCTGCCAATCCGCTACCGGGCACAATTCAAGGTGCTGGCTTTAGCCTATAAAGCCCTAAACGGTTCTGGCCCCGCTTACCTCTCCGAACGCATCTCCACCTATGAACCGACTAGAACATTAAGATCGTCTGGGGAGGCCCTGCTCTCGATCCCGCCTGCGTCACAGGCGCGCTTGGTGGGGACGAGAGACAGGGCCTTCTCAGTGGTGGCCCCTCGGCTATGGAATGCCTACCGGCAGACATCAGACAGGCACCTTCGCTGCTGACGTTTCGGAGAATGGTTAAGACCTGGCTTTATGAACAAGCGTTTGGTTAAGCAGTGCAACCAATCATAGGAAGACGGTAAATGGAACATAGGAATGGCACAAGGATTATGAGAACGGATCTGATTTCAACTGAGGCGTTATGTTATGTCTGTTTTGTTGATCTGTCTTGTTGATTGTTAACTGTTGTGGATTGATGCTGTTGATCCTGTTTGTTGCATTGTTATGTTTTAATTGCACTGACACTGTTTGATAATTGTACCATGTAAACCGCATTGAGTCGCCTGTTAAGGGCTGAAAAATGCGGTATAGAAATAAAGCAAATAAATAAATAAATAAATAAATAAACTAAGGCCTGCGGGCTGGATGCAGCCCTCCAAGGTCATTTACCTGCCCCCCCCCTCCACCCTAAACTTTAGCCTTAGGATCACCCTACATGTGAAATGACTTGAAAGCATACAACAATCGTAATTAACTGGACTATATCATCAGTCAAAAGCAGACCCGTGCTTCCCATTGAAATACTGGTAAGTTTATGTTGGTAAATATTGCTCTTCATTTTAAATATCGTATTGTTCTTTCAATTTCTTTGGGCTACAAATAAGTTATGTGCATTGTGCATGAGAATTCATTCATGCTTTTTAAAAACTATAGTCTGGCCCCACAATATCTGAGGGCCTCTGTTTACAAAATTTGAGGATGCCTAGTCTAAATTCACTAAATTTTAATATAAAGACACCCCACACAGTAATGATTCATAAGTCAAAATGAACACACACACACACACACATATGTATGTATATATCTCTGATTGTGTAATATAAATGTTTTGCAATACTATTTTTAAAACATGATATAAATTAAACCAAAATGTAAACATTAAAACTTACTTTGCTATGTAACCAATCTCAGCTAAAAGAGAAAACCACTGACTCAGGTGGTCAAGAAAAACAAATATGACTCCATGGCTCCTATATTGATACTATGGCAGACTGCAAGTATTTATGATGTTACCAGCAGAGAGGCTTAATTTCCAACTTATGGGGAAACATCATTCTAAACAATTACTGCCTGTCTATTCTTTTGGGAAGTCCTAGCTAGTTAGACCAGGACTCAAAGAACCTGCTTAAATTGACAAAAAATGTGCTTGTTCAGTAGAACTGTTTTCACTATTCTTCTGTTCCACTATAGGATGCCCTCCTAATGCAACCAGGATTAACACTGTCATCAGTTCTGCAACAGGGAAAGAAATATTACATAGATTGTCCCAATCTATTGCTCTTCTGATAATTATGATATAAACCCAAATCTATATTCATTTTTACAAATGCAGATTTATTTAACAAATTTAGTTTGCCTCTCAGAATTATGAAAAAGCATATTTAAGAAGTTGATAAGAATTAAGCTAAGGTATTAAATCCTGCTCATGGGATACTTTGTGCTTTCCTGCATGGCAGGGGGTTGAACCAGATGGCCCATGATATGTTCCAACTCTATTCTATGAATCTAATTGTAAAATATTTCAAATCAGTGCAATTACTCCATTCATTTGTATCTTCAACTTCTACAGAATACAATAAAAATGCCTGCCTACAGTGTGCATATTATTATTATTATTATTATTATTATTATTATTATTATTCAAAAGGTATTAATGGAAAGATGGCAAATGGCAGTATCAGGTACCGTAGCCTTTTTTTTTTTACAGTTGCTGTTTTTTGTGCCACCTGTCTTCTTACAGAATCTGATTAACTGCCTTGTGTCACTTGGCATTTACTTATCTAACATGGTTTCCTCTATCAATCACATTGATATTTCTTGGCATTTCGCCTACATTCACTGTACAAGTGGAAATCAAAGCTTATATGATATTCCTCCTGAAGGAATGACATTCCTTTTCACTGGTTGCTTGTTCATCTGCTTTACTGGATAGCATATTGAGGGAAGGGAAATTGGACTTCTGAATGAATGAAGTTCCAAATAAAGTCAGCAGAAGGCATATAAAGATGATATGCAGATGGACTTGACCACAACCCTCATCAATCGCTATCAGTATGGCAAGCTTTAATAAAGCATGTAGCTAAAATACAATGTTTCACTTCCACATGTAGTGCTAGAAGAATTTTGACTCCCCAAATATGACTGCTCTCTACATAAGTGTTGATACCCCAACTTCAGGTTTCTTAGCATCCTGGAGCAGGTTGTAAGGTGTCAAAGAGGCTGAGGGAGGGAGAGCAGGATCACCAATCTTGGCAAAATAGAAGGATCCAAAAGACATACCTCACTGGTTACTGCCCTAATTCAGGTCAATAATCATTTTTGTCTCTGGTAAAGGCAACATTAAAAGTAAGGATTAAACATTATTTTTATTTGTATTTGGTCTCTTCCAATTTTAGCTTCTTCTGTTCTCCCTGACAATTTTCTGTGCAATGAAGTCCTCTAGAGACAAAATACTGAGAAAAAATTGGGAAAAGCATCACACTTAAATCACGGGGAATAAAACTCAGTGTTAAATATTTGGCTGTTATGCTTTTTTCAGTCTGTTGCCTTATCAGATTTTTTTTAGAGACAAGGTTTTTCCATGCAAACTTAGATTTAAAAATGAACCATTTAAAATCACATCAGAAACCACAAAGTGAATACAAGAAATCCTGGCCAGAAAAATAAAAGGTTGGATCTAAAGAA